GCTGCAGGCCCTCTTTGCTAGGGTAAATGACACCTAATGGGAAAGCTATTATCAGCTTATAGCAAAATACTTTTCTCTGCGTTATCTCGACTCGTTTGGTATCTTTCTGGCATGTAGAATACAATGCTGCTTTTCACTGTTCCATGTGGTGAAGTTTCTCCTCTAGAGAAAATGAAAAGTTTTGTAAATGAGAAGCTCTAATTTGGTGTCTCCACTCATATATTAATACAAGATTTTGTAGAAGGTATGGTACACATTTAGGCAGATATATATATTTAAAAAAACACACACTATAATGAGATATACAGTAGTTTTCATTTCTGTGATAAAAAGTACCAGGAAACATTCTCCTAAGAGTATAGCTGTTTTCTGTGTATCTGCTGTGCCTGTAGTGGCCCAACATCACCTGGAAGGTGAAATTATGTACAGAAACAGAGAACCAGCATCAGCAAACTCACCCAGATGCAGAGTTTGTCTGAACACCTGCATCTTTTCCAGGCACACCTATAGGATGGAGCAGTCCCTCTACGGTCAGGTGGCCTGCCATGATTAGGAAGGAGCCCAGCAAAGACTAAAGTCCCCTTTCCCACTTCCCCAAGTCAGTGCGAAAACCTTGACAGGAGTAGCCCTGAGCTACTTCTGCTAATCAGAGGCCAGTAGGTTTGAAGGCCAAAAAAAAACCACAACTAGCTTTATGGATTTAGGAGAAAACATTATGTACTGGGACTCACAAACATGGGGAATGGAGAGTCTTCAAGGAAGGAAGAGGGTAACATATTTTTCTTGCTTCTCCACCACTTTTTTAGCTACTTTGCAAACAAAGGGAGAACATGGTTCTGAAATATCTGATATTGCAGGTTTACCTTGCTTTCTCCATGCCTTGATTAAGAAGCTGTTTTGTAAGCTAATAAAATCACTGCAAGCAAGTTCTGGTCTCCTATTTTTTCTTTACTTCCATAGAAATTAACAGGAACTTTAGGTACCCTGAGAGTACAGATGTAAATGCAATGTAGAACAAATCAATATGCATGTGGGCAAACATTACTTAGAATTACACTGGTTTTAGTCTAAATCCAGCATGTTGGTTTTGCTAAGCCTTGCCTATTTAGTATAAAGAGTGATCACATACGTGTCATTAAATATCTGCCAATCTTTATAGCCTGGACTGATATCCAATGAAAAAGTAACACTAATGTTCACGTCAACAAACAAACGCTTACAGTTTTGAATTCAAATTACATCTAATGGTACAAACGACATTTCATGGCTTATCCTAGTCCCATTGCATTCATCAGGCTACCACAAAATGGCACAACCAGCATTCACATCATGGAATCCAAGGAGGACACAACAGCACTGACAGCACAACAGCATTAAGGCACATTCATTCTTGTCCTATACTATTCAATATTATGACACTGTTAAGCCTATATTGTCAAGTCCAAATACCTATGCTTCACATATTAATTAATTTTTCACAAAACTGCCCTTCTTCCCACAGCATTTTGTCAATGATTAGTACTTACTGTTAGATTTCACATTAATGGTTTACTTCTTGAATAAATAAAAATCTCTATTACTTGTCAATCTTTTGATCTCTTCTTGTTTCAAAATTATCACAGGTTTCATTCGTCCTGGCCTTCTGAAAATAAACACCTTGCAGTACAAAATAGCCAAGAAAGGCATATGAAACAAATAATCTTTTTCAATTAATTTACCTAAATGCATGAATGTAATTGAACTTGCATACTAGAATTATTGACTTGTTTCACGTGTATTTTAGAAGAGCACTTTATTCTATGAAGGACAGCTTAAAGCAAGTCTGACAGTTACAAACTGTAAGGTGCACAAATATGTCTGGTAATAGAGGCCCTAGAACTATGGGAAACAGGCTACCTGTTTGTTACAGGTGCACATTAAACACTTCAATAATTTAAGTAAATTGATGTCTCACACTCATCACTGCATTTTGTAATTTTAGAGGATGACCATCTATTAAAATCTCAATAGCAAAACATAATATTAAATACAGGATATCAATTACACTCATACAATCCTAGATGACCCTGTATTCAAAATTTAAAGCATGTAAAAATTAAAATCAAGCTTCACCTTTAACATTCTTTCCAAATCCCATAGAGGCAGGAACTGCACTGTCTGCTTGTATTTTGCTGTTTGTTTTCTCTTTCATGACTTCATCATCACTTGAAACATCATCAGAGTTCATCTTCTTTTTCTTTTTCTTTTTTTTGTGTCGAGGAGGGAGCTTTTTCGGAAAGGTGAACATGGGAAATATCACAAGGAGCATTGCAATAGCACAAAGGAGAAATCCACTCCACCTAATGCCAGGAGACAGGAACAGAAATGAAAGCCAACACATTACATGAAATAAAAAAAAAACAAAAAACAACAAAGTAATTATTACAGGCTGTACTGGCTGGAAAGACATATTTGCAAAATATGGAACATTAACATTAAGAGTAAAGGATTGGAGTGGGGGAGAGGCTTCACTGCACTAAAACCCTTAATTAGAAGATACTTCTGTTGGCTTGTCTACTGATAAATGTATTTATCCGGAACCCACCAAACATTATGGAATAGTGTCAGTTTTGAGTTCCTGTAAATTTTCACTTTTGGTAATTATTCAGTACCAAGTACTGAGAAGTAGATACTCACTGTTACTTTGCCTTTCCTGGATAATTCCCAGTAAAGCAACACAGTATTCCTCTGCGGATCATGAAAAAAGTTATCCATGGTACGACAAGATAAAATGTCCAGATGGATACATCAGGGCTAAATCTGTTCTGCTTTCCAATGCCTGCCTCTCACTGCCCTGACTGTCCAATTCTCTCCCTCCCCAATGAGGAGCTCCCAAAGCCTGGTTGTAAACAACTGGTGTCTTGCAGTTCACGCCAGGGTTTACGCCTAAAATTTTGCAGCTCTGTTCTGTGACCACAACCTGAAATAGCCCTTCACAAAGAATTCCCTCTTCTCTCCCTCTGTCTTGTAAGAACAAGTTATAAACAACCCTGCAATGATCCCTTGGCTCCCACGGAATGACTGAGGCCATACCACAGAAGGGGCAACGTATGGGATGCCAGAAAAGTGCCCTTCAGACTACAGGCATACAGTTATCCTCCCTGAGGCCAAGAACCTTAATGAACTTTACCACAGCAACACAGATGGGCAAAAGGGCCTTACTAGAAAGTACTCCAGAGTTAACCTTCTGCAGTCAGAAGGCTGATAACAGAGTATCAGATAACACAATTTCTTCTCAAAGTTCATCTTGCAACGGAAGACTACAAGGAAACATGGTTAAACTCACATAGATGCTTCCATAAAGAAGGACAACCTCACAATTCACCCACAGAGTTCTTCCCATGTACTGAAAGTGCAATTCTCACTATATACTAATCCAATTGTACTGCGTTTACACGGCACAGTTTCAGTAGCGGGTTGGGGGCTGCAGGGGTGCTTCTTTGAGAAGACACTATGAGCTGCCCCCTTGTTGGACAGAACCAGCTCCAGCCAGCTCCAAAATAGATTCACCACTGCCCAAAGCTGAGCCCATCAGCGATGCTGGTGGTACCTCTGTGGTAACTTATTTAAGAAAGGGTAAAAAATGCTACGCAGCAGCTGCGTGAGGGAAGTGAAAAAATGTGAGAGAAACAGCCCTGCAGATACCAAGGTGAGAGAAGAAGGATGGGGACCAGGTGCTCCAAAGGGTAAAAAATGCTACGCAGCAGCTGTGTGAGGGAAGTGAAAAAATGTGAGACAAACAGCCCTGCAGATACCATGGTGAGAGAAGAAGGATGGGGACCAGGTGCTCCAGGTGCCAGAGCAGAGATTCGCCTGCAGGCCTAGGATAAGATCATGGTAACACAGGTTGTTCTCCTGCAACCCACGGACGACCATGGTGGAGCAAGCTCCTGGAGGAACTGCAGCCTGTGGAGAGGAGCCCACGCCGGAGCAGGTTTGCTGGCAGGACTTGTGACCCATGGGAAAGACCCACACTGGAGCAGTCTGTTCCTGAAGGTCTGCACCCCATGGGAAAGACCCATGCTGGAGCAGTTAATGAAAGAGCCTCCCATGGGAGGGACTGTGAGGAGTCCTCCCCCTGAGGAGGAAGGAGCGGCAGAGACAAGGTCGTATGAACTGACTGCAATCCCCATTCCCCGTCCCCCTGCACCACTCGAGGTGGAGGAGGTAGAAGAATCAGGAGTGAAGTTGAGTCTTGGAAGAAGGGAGGGGTGGGTGGAAAGTGTTTGTAGTTTTAATTCTTACTATCCTACTCTGTTATTAATTGGCAATAAATTAAATTCATTTCCCTAAATCAAGTCTGTTTTGCCCATGATGGATGAGTGTTCTCCCTGTCCTTATCTTGACCCATGAGCTTTTCATCATATTTTCTCCCCCTCTCTGGCTGAGGAGGGAGAGTGAGAGAGCAGCTTGGTGGGCACCCGGCAGCCAGCCAAGGTCAACTCACCACATCAATCTACACAGTGTTTGGAAGTTTCAGTGAAGTCAATCACATTACTGCAGTATCAAACCATGACAACGAAAGACTGAAGCTCTTTGCTTTCAAATCAGTTTACAGAACTGTGGTGGGATTCCTCCCACAGGAGACAGTTCTCCATGAACTTGCCCAACATGAGTCCTTCCCGCTGACTGCAGTTCTTCACAAACCGCTTTTAACTCTGTTATCCCAGAGGCGCTTCCACCGTCGCTGATGGGCTTGGCCTTGGCCAGCAGCAGGTCTGTCTGGAGCTGGCTGGCATTGGCTATGTTGAACGTGGGGGAAGCTTCCAGCGGCTTCTCACAGATGCCACCCCTGTAGCTCCCCCACTACCAAAACCTTGCCACACAAACCCAATACAAGAACATTTTTTACATTTTTTGTACATCCTTCATACTTAAAAAAGGAAGCTAGAACAGGAAGCTACTAATTATATATTTGTTCAAACTTTAAACATTTAAAAGTGTTGAGTAGACAGGATTACTTGCATAAGAAACAAAAACATTTGGCTTCGTATTTGTAATGAAAGGATTTTGCAAACTGTATTTTTAAATGAAGGCAAATTCATATGCATGTGTAATGGCTTGTGTCGTAAATGGTTATGCAAAGGCAAACACCAATCAATCAACCATGTGTAAAACAATTTTGTTAGAAAGATTGCATGGGAGGCTTCTGTGAGGCAAATCTAAGTAACTCAAAGTTTTGACTAGTTTTGATATTATGTAAACAGAAAACCCTCCATTCATTTTAGCTGATAACATACACGGATTAGAAAACAGACTTTTAGGAGGATTAGTCAGCACTATCAGACAGGGAATAAATTGGTAGACCATAAAAATGTAGTAACATCCCTTTCAGGATCTCAAAGGCAGAAGCTGCAAAGGCACTGATCAAAGAAACGATCTGTGGCAATAATACGCAGAACTCTGAAACCACCTCCATTCATTTTAGCTGATAACATACACGGATTAGAAAACAGACTTTTAGGAGGATTAGTCAGCACTATCAGACAGGGAATAAATTGGTAGACCATAAAAATGTAGTAACATCCCTTTCAGGATCTCAAAGGCAGAAGCTGCAAAGGCACTGATCAAAGAAACGATCTGTGGCAATAATACGCAGAACTCTGAAACCACCCAAGCACGAGATGAAATTCAAATCCAAAGGGACAATTCCGGCAGCATACCGAGTGCTGGAGATAGATATCACAAATGCAGCACTGGATGCAATTATCTGTACTGTCTACACTTCACATCTTCCTGGAGAAATATCAAAGAATTGGAAAACAGACAAAAGAAGGTATCAAAAATAATAATGACACCTACAATGGGAAATGAGAGGTCAGAACAGGATCTGTATTAATTTAAAAGCCCTTGATTTTCTGTCTTCTAAAGTCAGAGAAAAAATATGTGGGAGAATACCTTAAAGGCATTTCCATAAGCTCTAGGACCTCAAATAAAAGCAATTAAAGCTAAGGAAGGACCAGACAGTGCTGGAGGAATTCCTTTAAACTTCTTGTGTGGAATGTCGATGAAAGACTATACAGGAAGATCCAAGTATTAAACAGATTCAGAACTAGGCAAACACTCAGAAAAGTGTCAGCAAAAGAAAATTTGATTCAAAGCACCTGACAGACCGCCAAGGGCTACTCCGCAACTAATGAGATCCTTGTATAGCACATTAACAGTTCTCAAAGACAACAACATGATGGATGATTTCTAACAGCTATCCCTACAGTTACTACATTTGAATAAAAAGCAATTTTAAACATTTGACAGGCTAGCATAGACACCTGGCCTGTAATGTAGCCCAGACCACCTACAGAAAGCCCAGATGTGCAAAACCCAGCAGTGCAAACCCAAGTTCTGTGAAACTCAAGGAACAATCAGATCAGAAATAACCCTGAGAAACACCCACTTACTTTGTTTATGAGGTTTCACAAGAGACAAACCAAGTTACCTGTCCTGCATATAAACAATATACCTCTTAGAAAGGAACAGCTTAAGTAAAAAATAGGCTTTACTGTAACTTTTGTTGCCATATATCACAGTTGCTATACTTACTATTTTGCCTATAATCATTGCCTCCTTCAATAATGGAATTTTTCCACTGGGTCCCTGCAATAAGTTACATTAGAAACCTTACAGCTGTAGTAAGGGAAAGATGAGAATTAAAGACACTAATTCACTTCAAAGGAGACAACGCTGAGAAATCTCAAATATGACTGCCCATTAACTTATCTCAACTGCACCCTACTTTTAAAAAGCGTATCAGCTGAAGTAAGTGCTAGACTACACTTATATTCCAAATCGTTAGATTACATACATAAAAATAAACTTGGCTACGCGGCACTTCACTCCAAGGAGAAAATGTCACAGTCCCAGAAAATAGATTTCAGTGGAATGAAAGTCTACACTTCCACAGCTCTCTGCAACCGTGCAGTCAGTGAGCAGCAAGGGACAAAGGACCAGTCCTCACACCGTCAGAGTCTTCATTTTAATGGGTAGACAAAGTTTCAGAAAGAGAAGAGAGAATGAGGCACAGATGCTATGAACACCACCGAACTTTTATGAGAGGCTACCACAGACTGTGAAACAAATTGCCAGAGATCTGATAGCAGGGGATACTTTTTAGAAATTAAAGAGAGAAAAAATTGAGAGCACCAAAAATGAAAAAAACTAACACAAGGACCTGGAACACCCTTCAGGGAAAGCCACTGTCTACAGATTTAATCAACATGATGGAAAAAGGAAACTGAATGGCTTTTGCTTTTCTGTGTTGGCTAAAATATGACTCCCCCACTGAGATCCTATGACAAGCAATTTCCTGACCTTGCTTCTGTCATATTTGCATCACTTCTGCTGGCATCCTTGTGCAAAATTGAAATCACCAAGATACTTTGTTCAGGTGACATTAAACATTGAAGATACATAAAATGCATTTAGCAATTTGACATAAAATCTTCCAAATGCCCAAACTAGGCTCTTTTCCCTATTTTGCTTGCAAGGCCTGGTAGAGTAGATGTTCTCAAAGCCTGCCCACAGAAATAACTGTAAGAGGTGACTTCTCACAACTGTTGCCATGGCGCAGAGTGGTTACAGCATTCCTATAGGATGCTGGGGATCCATCCCTGGCACTGGGCATCCATCCCTGCCATTCACTCTTTTGAGGGAGGACAGTTAAACTTGTAATTCATGAGCAAGGACATGCATATTTTTGCCTGATCTCCCTGATGCATTTGGCTATAACAACATTGCACGTATATCCAAGCCAGCTTTAAACATGTAGTAGTGGCCATCCATCTGCTGCGGCACAGAGCTTTGTGCAAATGGCCTGAGAAGTGACAAACTTATGTGTCCATGCCACTCTGGTTATTTTACCTTCACCTGAGCTGTTTAAGTTAAACTCACACAGATATGCCCACACTACGAGGCAGCTACATCAGTGGTTGCATTATGGTAAAAAGTAAAAGCTTACCCCACACTCGTATAGCCCCACTTATTTCATTATTAAATATTCCCTGGAAGTGTTCAAGGCCAGGTTGGATTAGACTTTGGGCAACCTGGTCTAGTGGAAGGTGTCCCTGCCCATTGTAGGGGGTTTGGAACTAGATGATCTTTGAGGTCCCTTCCAACCCAAATCATTCTATGGTTCTATGATTCTATATTTATGGTCCAGTTCATGATTTCTGTTGAAAAGTACTGATCAGATGCTGACTGCTAGTTCTGACATGTCTTCAAAAGCACATGAAACATTAGAGTTTTACAATGAATGTATAATAGTTTGATTTCTAATCTTTCATTCAAGAATAGTCAAAGCATGTTTTTCACACTGCAGCACATTCACATGACAAATCTTTTCTGTGAGAGAAGTCAGTATATACATGAGAGCACAGAGTCGTTAACCCCAAAGGCACAGGTTAACTGAGCACTCAGGTTTGCCTTTCTCTCGCTGAAAATTCAGCTAGAAGTTTCTCTGCAGCAATGCTCTTGGACTAAGTAAGACAAATAAAGCAGCAATAAATCTTCAAAGGCTTAGGAACACTCCAAAGAGAGAATTTTTCACATCAAACTGTCAGGAGAGATCACTGCAGGATAAATAGAAACAGATACAATCTGACTGCGATAGTGGAGTGACAAACACTAATCCAGTGCATGAGAGCTGACACTGCACCCTACACCTAGAAAGTAGAGGTATCTTCTGGGGATAGTGAACATAAGTCTTTCCTGGGCTTGCACAAAAATTTCAAGGCAGATTTATGAAAGAGCTGAGAAAAGCCAGTTAGAGCCTCCTCAAGACCTGCTTCCTCAAACAGACATTTCCAAGGAGGCCACATATCAAAGGCTGCCCAAAGACATCAGCTAACAACTATGACTGTTACATCTCAGCGGTGCTGGAAGCCTACTATTTACTAGAGAATAATGTGACGGTTTACATCATCTGCTGCCTAAACACGAGTCATCATGCTGAGAAACAAGACTGGAAAGGTCATGTTCTGACCCCATCCTACCTCCTCCTCCTAGACCAGGGTAAACAAAGTCTACCATTTCTCATCTGGGCAGCAGAGCTCAGCAGTTCATGCTGCCTGCTCTGGAAAACTAAAGAAGGGATTAATCCACCTTCCAGCAGGAAGGGCTCAAGCAGTGATCCTCGATGGCCTCTTGCAACTTGGATGTTTTGTCCTGTCATCCCCATGCTGAGTGCTGTCAGTCAGTGCCCACAGTGGTCAGAGACAGTCCTGGAGTAGCCAAAAGCAGGAGGTTTTCCAAGCAATGTGCCTGTGTGCTTCTGTGGCAAACGTTCCCTCTCTGTCAGAGGCTAGTGTGTAGTAGAGAGAGACCTCCTCTTCCTTGGCCTTCTGCTACAACCTTAAACAAGCCCTCCAGGGATACAATTTCCCTACCTGTCTCAATTCCATACCAGAGAGTAGGTTTGAAAAATGCTTGATTCTTACCAGTTTCCAATGAATCGGGGATCACTCTGGTCAATATAAACAGTTGTCCTAGGATCAACATAGAAACCAATAAGAAGTCCTCCTAGCAAGTATCCAGCTGCAGGACCCAGTGCTCCCATTACGTACATGATGGCTGAGGAAATAAAAGGTCAGAGTCATACATCAATAAAAGGAATGCTTCATTAGTTATTTATGTGTAAAATCCAAAAGTAAAAGACACTTCTTAAAGCAGGGGGTTTTGTACCCTAAAACCTTCAGAGCCCTTTTTTGCAACCTTCAAAGGCAGCAACTTCTGCATAACTAACATATTGATAAGAAAATTACTGCTTTCTGTACATTTTCAGTCAAATTATGGATGGAAGTACACACTACTTTGGTATTTTGGATGGAAAGCATACTTGACTTTGACATATTTTTCATATTTGGTAACATTTCCTTTGAATCAAAACAATATTTAATACATAAATAGAAAAAAAATAACTAATGGTAAGAAAACAGAAAAGCAAAGCATAAAAATTGTGTAAGACACCAAGGAACAAAGTACAACATTCCAACTTAATTACCATCAGACTAATACTGAATTTAAAACAACGATCAAAGTTAAGAAATCAAATATTCCTATTTCAGAGATTGACAGAAATGTGTTTTCATCTGTGTAGCCACAGACTTGCACCTGCTTCGCATACTGATACCAGCAGACCACATATACCATATTTCCTGTGAGACTTCTGCCTTATTCGGAACATTTGATCTTTTAAATTTAAAATCTTAATGCTATTTTAAAAGAGATTTCCTAATTTAAAAAGCAAATAAAATGAAAATAAGTTTCTCATGTGCAACCATGCAGACACACATTTTAAAACATCATCATGGTCTGAACATTGGATGACAGCAAAATCCTTGTAACTTGGAATAATAGAGTAGGAGATATCAATAGAAGGCCCCTATCTCCTGCGTCTGCTACAAGATACTCTTCAGAGTGCAATCTCCAGTCCCAGTTCTTCAGCCATCCACACCAGGGCATGTGTGAGAAAACATCACAGCTCCCCTTTGGCTTGCATGCCAGTGCAACGGAGAGACCGAGGCAAGGAAAGTCTACATCTTAGCAGGGGGCCAAGACGCAACTGGATCTGGGACCCAGGAAACCCTTCTGCATCTCCCAGTAGAGGCATAGTTGGGAGACACCAGCAGGAGCAGACAAAAACATCTGGTCTGCTGACAAGAACTGAGTGCTGAGATTTAGGAATCCTGCTCTCATTTCCAGGTTTTGAAAGGTGCAGAATTTAAAGGCTGTCATTTGCCTTGCCCTTAAGTCTTGCCAATTCCACTTCTTTCCTTTTCTACTTCTGCAAATCCCAAATCAACGTTTGACCTAAGCCAAGGTCAGTTATCACAACCTCAAATTCAGACACCTTCCTTCTACAAGATCCATACGATCTTGACCACAACACCAAGACCACAGCCATCTTCCAAAGATTGTTCTCTTGTAAGGGTTCAGCTGTATCAGCTCAATGTTCAAAAGTCCATGGGGCCTGATAGGATTCATCCCAGAGTACCGAAGGAGCTAGCAGATGTTATGGCAGGACCCCTCTCGATCATTTACTAAAGGTCTTGGGAGTCTGGGGAGGTCCCCACTGACTGGAAGCTAGCCAATGTTATTGCAATCTACAAAAAGGGCGTGAGGGAAGACCCAGGGAACTACACACCTGTTAGTCTAATCTCAGTTCCTGGAAAAATGATGGAGAAGATTATACTGGGTACTACTGAAAGGCATTTAAAAAATAATGCAGTCATCAGGCACAGTCAACATGGGTTCACAGAAGGAAAGTCCTGTTTAACTAATTTGATATCCTTCTATAAGGTCACCCGCCTAGTAGATAAAGGGAAGGCAGTGGATGTAATTTTTCTGGATTTTAGTAAGGCTTTTGATAATGTCCCCCACAGCATCCTTCTGGACAAGCTGTCCAACTGTGGGATGAGCAGGTTCACAGTGCATTGGGTGAAGAACTGGCTGAAGCGCAGAGCTCAAAGGGTAGTAGTGAATGGGGCTGCATCTGGCTGGCGACTGACTGGTCACCAGCGGTGTTCCTCAGGGTTCAATTCTAGGGCCAGTTATGTTCAATATATTTATCAACAATCTGGAAGCAGGAGTTGAATGAATCATTAGCAAGTTTGCTGATGATACCAAAGTGGGAAGTGCTGTTCACTGTCTTGAGGGGACAAGAGGCCTTGCAGAGGGATATAGATAGATTGAAGCATTGGGCTATGTTTAATGGCAGGAAATTTAACAAGTCCAAATGCCAGATTCGCACCTGGGACAGAGTAATGCCAGGCACAAGTATAAATCGGGAGAGCAGCGGCTGTGGAGCAGCCTTGCGGAAAGGGATCTGGTGGTGCTGCTCAACAGCAGCGCAACATGAGCCAGCAGGGTGCCCTGGCAGCCAGGAGGGCAACCCGCGTCCTGGGGTGCATCAAACACAGCGTAACCAGCCGGTCAAAAGAGGTGATTGTCCACTGAGTTCAGCATTGGTGCAGCCTCACCTTCAGTACAGTGTGCAGTTCTGGGGCCCACAATTTCAGAAGGATGGGAAGGTCCTCGAATGTGTCCAGGACTTGAACGCATGTCCTGTGAGGAGAAGTTAAGGACTTTGGGCTTGTCTAGTGTGAAGAAAAGGAGGCTGAGGGGTGACCTCATTGCTCTCTGCAGCTTCCTGAGGAGGGAAAGTGGAAAGGGAGGTGCTGGGCTCTTCTCCCTGGGATCCAGTGATAGGACGTGTGGGAATGGTTCAAAGCTGCACCAGGGGAGGTTCAGAGTGGACATTAGGAAGCACTTCTTTATCAAGAGAGTGGTCAAACCCTGGAACAGGCTTCCTAGAGAGGTGGTCAATGCCCCAAGGCTGTCAGTGTTTGAGAGGCATTTGGACAATGGCCTTAACAACAGGCTTTAACTTCTGGTCAGCCCTGAAGTGGTCAGGCAGTTGGACTAGATGATTGTTGTAGGTCCGTTCCAACTGAAATAGTCTATTCTACTCTATTCTACTCTATTCTATTCTATTCTATTCTACTCCCCTACACCATCTCTTTCCTTCCTTAATGCATCCTGCAGTACTCCTCCCTTTTAAGATGCTTCTGCCCTGCTTCCCATACTGTCTGGCTGTAAGCACGAAAAGCAAGAGGTAAGGGATGGTCTCTGCTGGCCCCTCATATGTCTGGTACCACCCTAACCCAAGCGCCAGCAGCACAAAACCACTTGCTCAGGTACTGCTCCCCTACACCATCTCTTTCCTTCCTTAATGCATCCTGCAGTACTCCTCCCTTTTAAGATGCTTCTGCCCTGCTTCCCATACTGTCTGGCTGTAAGCACGAAAAGCAAGAGGTAAGGGATGGTCTCTGCTGGCCCCTCATATGTCTGGTACCACCCTAACCCAAGCGCCAGCAGCACAAAACCACTTGCTCAGGTACTGCAGATCCACCGTGTAGCACATGAAAAAACAACTGATTATCTAATTCTCTGAAAACATCACCTTCACCACAAAATCTCTGTCTCCACATGGTTTCTGTGGACCAGTCACTCTCCATGGCAGTATGCAGACTCCATCTTTTTTGGTCCCATTCTCAATCAGACATGCTGTGTCCTAGACGGCAGCAGCTGAGGAAGCATAACTGAGTTGTTAGAGCTTGGGTTTCTGCGTTACCAGTTATAGTAACTTATATCTCACAGACAAAATAAGCAAAAAAGAAATCACTAAATCTGCCTGATTAAACCAAAGTAACTTGTACATTTTCATCTTATGCTTTGAAATAAGAGAAAGAAGAAAAATAACATTCTCATGAGTAAAGAACATTCTCATGAGTAAAAAGAGGCCGCTGAGAGTGATATTGCAGGGAAAAAAATCAGAAAAGGTAAACTGCCTATAGTAAAAAATGCTTCCAGACTACAAATTGATTAAACAGATTTATCACTTTTAAGTTACTCTTTCTCAAACACATTTTCAGTCTTTATGAAACTGCAATTTCAAATAATTAGATTTTGCTGAAGTCTTTTTTGCATAATGGTTTCCAGAACAGTGTTCACTATTTAAATTTATTCCAGCCATGTTCCCTTCTGGACTGATTGTAAACAATTCTCTGTATGCCTAAAATGCTCCATCAGACATTGTAGCACTGCTCCTTAGCAGTAAGTGGTTAGATAAACCCCACAGTAACTGTTATTTGCAAAATCTACATCATGAGGAGGGGGAAAAAAACAACCTCCACCCACTATAATAAATTTCATTCTACAAATGTTTGCTTGGAGAATTGATTCAAACACCTACAGCAAACTCAGATCTCTAAAAAGTTTACAGAGGAAACACAAAGAGAGTAAAAGAGTGACTTAATCCATTCATTCAAGTATTCAGAAAAAATACTTATGGTGCATTTATTCAGATCCAGCTGCACCAATGAAACACGCAAAATGCAGCAACTGCTTAGGCTTAGAAGCACTACACAGAGAGTGTATTTTGTATACCTGGTAACTTCAGAGAGTTCTCTTCATAAGCAGCAATACAGTAAAGATAAAAATAACTGTACACTGTGCTCCATTAGAGGACAGAATGCTGCCCACCATTTCAAAAGTATTTTAAAATTACTGTATGCTGTTCAGGCTTCAAGGGTTTTTTTTTTTAATATAACTTACAGACAACATGTAACTTTCAGAATCTTTCAGAGAACAGAGAGCCTCCACGTGCCTGGTCCAGGGCAGGAGGAAACCTGTGCGCAGACAAGTTCCACAACTGCCATTTTAAGACACTTTGCAGCACCTTCCTCAGCACCTAGTAATGGCCACTATCAGAAACCGGACACCAAGTGCAATAAACTGACTTGGACTTCTAAATAAGACTACAGATGGCAAGTAAAATATTTTGATATTTCAAAATGAGGTACTTGAAAAAGTCTGCCCCAAACCTCCAAACCTCGTTGTGGAAGTGAAGGGAAAGCCAGATCCAAGAGTCACCCTTGTAGGCTGCTCCAGAGTCCTCGACCCTTGAAATGCTGGCCACAGCCCTCACAGCTATGCACCCCAGTGTCCAGCAGTAAAGAGGTTCCTGATTCCCAAACAGGCCACCAAGATTACTGGATGACATGT